GGGCCTGAGCAGAATGGCTGTCTTGTACTCTGAAGACATAAGACATAGCGTACAGTTATTGTGCGTTACCTCAAAACAAAGGCTTAAAACATAAAACATTGTCTTAAGGTTGTCTTGAGAGTATAAGACAGCTATTCTGCGCAGACCCTTATTGTTCCGTCCAAGATAGCAGATCTCTCTAGAGAAGCATGCTTGTCCGCTGAGTTTAGATCGCTGCGGATCGCTATGACGCGACGAACCAAAGATTAATATCCTTTCGAGCTGTCGACTCGTATCTACCTCCCCATTCGAGTTTCACTCGAGTCGTTAATCGTTTCATCCGTCGAACGCTACAAGATCGCTGTGCTCATTTGTTAAATACGTCTCGCTGGGTAGTGCGAGTCAACGTCAACGCGTTAACGGTAGCTACTCGCGCTTGTAGAAGGTGTTGGTTCCACGTGTTGGACCGTCGCGAAACATGCGAAAAAATTGGTGCTCTCGCCCGGCTTAAAAAATACACGTGCACGCGCAATGAGAATGCGATTCATGCGCACCGTAACGCGCCGGAGATTCTGCAACGCGCGGAATTCGCGTCTGTGCGCGCGATTACATGTATGTCCGGCTTCGCGGACGGCGGGCCGCGTACAACACACGTACGTACGGCGCGTGCACGCAACAGGCGCGCGCGATCAACAGACCGTGACGATGGAGAGTGTGGTCGTCTTCGGCGAGGCGTAGGCATGTATCGACTGGGAGTACCTCGATTGTCAAATGCGCAGGGGATCCGTGTGCGTATTCGCGTCGGGCTTGTGTCGCGCCGCGCAGAAGCTCAGGCCGAAGCACAGCATCAGCAACGCCACCGAGCCAACCAGCAAGTGACTCGACCAGGACACCGAGCACTTCCCTGAAACAGATGGTATCCGTCCGTCATCGACTCTACTCGACTCCGATCCCCCTTGGCGAAACCTCGACGGCGGTTCGTAAGCTATCCAAGGGAATTCCCCTCCGGGGAATAGCTCGGTCGGCCTAATCGTCGCGTCGTGGTTGAATATAATCGTCGCTTGTAATGGCTTAATCAGCGCGCCGAGCTGATAAATCGGGACCGGCAGATTTACTAGGAACTACTTTTTCAGAAATTGCCAATATTATTACAACTAGTTTTAAGTGCTGTGCTATCAATTTTGCTAATTTTAGGTAATGGTTGGTCTCGTTGTTACTATAAATAAACAATTTTTGCGGTAGGCAGTGAGAGAAGCGTTCTATTACAATGATTGACACTCTATTTAATTCGGAAGATAATACTAAACAAGCGTAATAATATGTAATCAATATTATTACTGATGCAGATAGAACGTATATACCGATCTAATTTAGCGCTAAAATAATAGAATTGTTAATTGCGCGGTAATTGGGAATGTACGGTAGCGATGAAACAACTATTGGAACAACCTTGGATAAGAAGGGCCACGTGACGATTCGATACCCATTTGCGCCGCTGTCGGAATTTATTAATAAGTTTAATATTCCATCCGCAAGAGATATCGATTAACTAGCGGTACTTTCTCGAAGTACGTGCGATTCGGCCATCATCGCCGTGACGTTGGTTTTGACGTCGGTTTGACCTACCAACCCGACGTCTATTCCTGTAGCACTCACCTAGGATTGCTCGTCACCTGTGCACTGAACAGCACAGATTACGCATTTCGACCGGATATTCGATAACCCTCTAAAATCCTATCGACAAACGAACGCGCACAACCGCGCCCGCGCGCGAAACGTCCCGAAAATTTTGCGGTTAATTTTAAGGGGATCCTCGAGCCGTCTGTTTTATCGACATTCTTTGTTAGAAGTAATCTTTTAATTGGCTTTATAGAAATGCAAATCTCTTTTACGGAATTAAAGTACACAGCACATTCTAGACTATGCTGGTCGAATTTATATAAAATTATTATATAAAATTATTATATAAAAAACGAAAAGAAATTTTAATTTTACTAATTTTTGGTACACTTGCCAACAATATTTGCTTCATACAAGAATTCTAAAATAAATATATACAAAATGAGACCAGCATACTCTCGGGACAACATGTAAGAACAATATCGTGCAATTAGAACTAAGATTAATAGTCTAGAAAAAAAGATTACTTGTAATAAACGGAAGTCCAGAAATCCAAGTCTAGAGGAAGAGAAAAAGAGCAGTATGGCGTGCAGAAATAGTTGCAGGCCTTTTCGAGAGAGGTCGCTGCCAAACATCTGTCAGATTGTCAGTAAAGCCACGGTGTTGACGATGCTTGAATTCGATTCAAAATCTCGGCCTGAGCAATGTGTAGCTAATAAAATTGCTGCGCTTTTTCATAAAAGTTGCAAATTGATTGGCTATAAATTTCTCGGACCGAATTAAAAAACGTTGAACTTGGAATTAAAAATGTCGATAATCGACGTCTATCTTATCGACACTGATCGAGTTTGCCAGCAGCTTTAGGATCCCCCTCTTCGCTTAATTCGGAAAAACGAGATATCTCGATAGGATCTTCGAATTATATAAAAAAAGAAGTTAAAAATCATTTCAACGCTACGATTTCTATTTGACGAGCAGCTGGACGAATATTTTCGTCGGGTTTCATCGCGCGATTTAACCGAGAATGCGGATTTATCGGAGATGATCCTGCGCGCGCGGGGTACAACGTATGCATCCGGCAGTCACGGCGAATCAATAACGAATCATCCGGGAATTGAAAGGCAAATCAACGGATCGCCGATGTCGAATCGCATCGTTACGTGCCGCGTTGGGAAATTACGGGGAAATCAGAAACTACGTCCGAGGCCAGCGAGACGTGGGTTTGCGCGTCCCGCCAAGTTACAAGAGCCATAAGTCTCGAGACTGGTTTGCGTAAAGTCCCCGGGAGTGGCTGTAGATCGTCGAGTACTCGATAAAACATTCCGGGAACTCGGCCTGCGAAAATGCGGAAAGTTCCATTACCGATTCCAGTCCATCGTCGTCACCGTCGTGGTAGTTACGTCTTAAGAGTAATCACGTACAGACACACGTCCGCGGATTTCAGCGTGCCATGCTGCATCGGAACGGCAATTTCTCGCTGAAGACGTCGTTAAACTGGGAAGCGAGCAACTAAGGCGCAACTCTCGTCGCGCGCGCGCTCGCGCGCGCGTGCGAGTTCGCCGAGCACGTTAATTAGTTATCAAATTAAATCGATAACTCGCGCGCCGCATTCCGCCGGAATTAAGTTCCGGCACCATTCCACTCGGATCATATCCCGCGGTACCGTCTGCATCGCGTTCCTGCAGACTCGAAAATGATGTTTCGAGGACGAGGGCACTCACCGAGATTGTAAACGTTGGCCCCCTTCCCGCAGGATTCGCGTACCTCCCGATTATCCCAGCCTATCGGGTACATGACTAGGCCGCCGCATATCATCGCTGCTGTAACAAGCAAACGAAAGTAGTCTATCAGTGTTCGCCCGTTTCAACATTGGGCCGAGGCGCCTTTCACCCTGCGAAATCGGTATTACGATATTCCCGGCTTCATTCCGCGCATCGATCATGTCGCGCGGACTCTATGACTCTGTCATTTTTCGAAAGCGACCCTTAAATGCAGAAAAGGAGCAAGTCGAGAACAACGAGCCAACTTGAAGCGCGTAAATGGGATACGTCAATAGTGGAAGAAGAATGACGTCGCCATGATATCTATTTTATTTGGGGACAGTTCATTATTTCGCTGCAAAATGCGAATCCCCGTTTGCTTTTCCGTTAATTGGACGAGAGGGCGGGTTTGTCATTTTTGAAGGCGCATTATTTTTTCTCTCTCGTGCACAACAAAAAAGACTCCAAGCCCGGGTTTATCTAATTCAATTAACGATATGCGAGAAAATATTTCTCTTTTGCTAACTGATAGTCACGGCAATGGCACGTCGACGTCGCGTCGCCGGATTTAATTGTGAAGTAAAAAAAATACTCTAATTACACACTCAGCTAATTTTCCAATTAATTGTACACTCACCAGCGAATAATTGTAAGGATCCTAAAATCCTCGTGTGCTTCGGCGTCTTGAGTATATGCGGGAGGAATGAAGACGCCGCTGCTAGAAGCGTCAAGGCCCCGATCACTGCGATCGCGACACCGATTCCCATCGTGACTGTGCTCGCTTGCCACCAAGCACTCGGTATGTCCCAAAAACTGCAACGAAAAGTGGTTTCGATAAATTAATTAAAACCTTATTTTACAAGAATTGAAGACATTGCTGCAAGAAAGAGGGAAGTCCACATTTTGGCGAAAATGATGTTATAACATCATTATATGCAACGTTACAAGCCCGATCGATTGGTGTAAAAACGACGTACGTAAGTGCATTGTTAGTTAAATAAACTGAGATTTTTGGACTTGCCCCCCTAAGCAGATTGGTGCAAGAACGAGGTAAGTCCGCACTTGCCTCGTTCTTGCACCAATCTGCTTAGGGGGG